TTCTCCCCGGAAGACCCTTATTCGAGGAGCCCCGCCAAGCCCTGCAGGAAGGGGTGCCACGGCGGGGGGAGGCCAGGAAGGGTCTGAGCAGACAGGCTGCGCTGGTCCCCATGCCGGTCCGTCAGCACCAGCTCACGCTCTTCGTCTAATCGCCTTTCTACATGGCCGTCGGTTCTTTATGGAACCTACGTATGAATATAAACAGTTCTATCTGGGTCTCTGGGTCTTCATTTCTGAAGGCTCCCATGTCAGATGAAACTCTGATATTCGATGAGTCTGCTTTGCTTTTCTCTTTTTGATCCACCTTTTGTTCAAGGACAGGTGTGGGAGGGTCTCACACCTTTCTGCCCTCACGGCCGCCTGAGATACGGTCTCCTGTCTCGCTGCGGCAGAGGGCAGGGCATCTCCAACCTCGGTCATCCAGGATCCTGCTACACGCAGACCATTAGCAGGTTGGGATGGAGCCCAGAGTCCTGCTGCCTGCCCGGCGGGGCTGCCAGCACGTCCAGGTCCAGACCGACTGGCAGGTGCCACCTGTGGAGGTCCCGGAGGCTGCTTGAACTCTCTCAGCCTGGGCTCCTCCCCTGCAAGCACGAATGGCATCGCTCCCAACCCGGGTATGACCTCGAGAATCAGCGAGATCCTGTGCGAAATCAAAGACACAGCTAATGAAATCCACGACGAATTTAGTACAGGCTAAAATTCCTCCTTTGCTTTTGGAAGAAAAAAATCGATTTGCTATCAAGAGACAACGACGGAAGTCATACCATATCGTAATTTTTCATTCTTCTCTTAGAGGATTTATTTTTCCCATCATCACCTACAGGAAGCACGTTACATTTTCCAAGTGCTAGGCAAATTGTGTTTAGGTTCGTTAACACACAGAATCATTGGCAGACAGGGATCATTATTGGGTTTCATTGGTTTCCGTCAATATGGGCACGATTTCCAAGAGAGCTCTTTCCACTCGGTGCTGGGGCGTTTTGCCCAATATCTCCAATGCTGTTGGGTGGCTTTTCACATGCCTAGTGAAATATATATATATGTGTGTATGTGTGTGTGTGTGTGTGTGTGTGTATTTCCTATTTAATGTGCTTTCCTCATAATAAAAACCCTCTCTAAACCAAAAGCAAATTTTATTCTAATGTGGAGGTATATTCCACCTTGAGAATGAATCAGTGCCACATTTTCTCCGCGCAAGGAAAGCACCGTGCCATTAAGCTTTTGTGTATTTTCACAGATGTTGTTCTCCTTTTGCCTGGAAGTGAACTATCAAAGCCACATTTTGCAGATAAACAGGTAGGTCTGAGTCGGAACTAGAAATCAGGGTGGGCAGTGAAGCTACTGAAATTTTCAGCAGCCTACATCTTTATTTTAGGCCATGTTGCCCACCCTGAAAGCAAATATTTAGAGCACGTCTGTGCTGAATGCCCTCCTGACCTCCTGCGGGGACTTTTTAAGAAAAAAATGAGCACGATGTCTCTGCTCCCTGTGCCCCGAGGGTGGGGACAGGCCAGTGGTGTCTTTAAATAGCCCCAGGTCGCATCTATGATGACTCATCCCCCAACTGCAGCTTTTCAAATAGCTGACAAGGTCGACTCTCAGTAGTACAACCTTTTAAAAACATGCATTTTTACTACTTAGAAGTTTTTTTTTTTTTGCCATAAAAAAAAAATACAGGCAGCAGGTTTTTATTCCTGCCTCCATCATGCCAATGAAAATAAAGGATGTTTATTTTTTAAAAACCCAAGGGTATGTCGTTCTGCACGATGGAGCCTCTCTCTCTGCTAAATCTGTGCATCAGAGTACCACCGTGAGTCTACAAGAAGCATACGTGTATTTGTTTTATTATCACTTTGTCCCAAAGCCTTTTTGTACCTATTCCATCCTGGGTTAGTGGTATAGATGGAAAGGGGAAAAGATAGAAAGGGGAAAAAAATAAAAATTAATGAAGCGAACCAAGCGCCGATCATGATGTAGTGGGAAACAAAAAGGATCTGGGGCCAGAACTAGGGTGACAAACTAGACTGTCCCAGTCTGCCCGGAAGGAAGGTATTTATTTCCCGGACCACAGAGGCTTAGCGCCGATACCAGGACAGCTGGTCACCCCCCTCCTACCCCGGCTGCCGGCCACACTGGGGTTCAGACCCAGACTCCACCTTTTACTGGCCTTGAAGCCTTTTGGCAAATGCACTTCTCGGAGCCTTGGTGGTCTCTTCTGCAAAGGGACAGTAATAACTGTTCCTTGTGATTTGAAAGACTAGAGACAATGTGTGCAAAGAACGTGGCACAGGTTCCGGAATCGGAACAGTGACCATGCGCTGGGCGGCCCCCAGGGGGATCCGGCACCGCCCAGAGCATTTGACACGCACTCTGCTTGTCCTCGTGCAGGGGCAAGGTGTGGGGAGGCACCACCACCCTTCCCTGCAGGTGACCGCACCAGGCCAGGAGCCGGAGGAGCTGTCCCCAGCTAGGTCCACTGCCGGCGCTGGGCTCGGCTCCGCCTCCAACCCACGCTCTCCCTCTCTGTGCCTCTGTGCCCTTTTCTCATCATTGTTTTCAGATACAAATAAAATAATTGCTTTCGTTCTTCTCCACTCTGCATCCTCCCCTCGGAAGATAGCTGCCATCGGGGAGCGTGTTGAAAGCCACGTAGATCCTGTCGGTTTTCCACTCCGGAGCCCAAGTTTGGGTTGGCAGATTCCACTTGGGGGTGCAAACCATTGCTCCTTCACACCCGTGGCCGACTTATCCTCACCCACCTCTGCTCTGTGAACCGGCCACTGCGTTCGCGCCTCCGTAGCCTCTTGCCATGTCATGTGCAGAGTATGGGCCGCTCGGCAGTGATTTTTTTGGGGATCTTAAGAAACTAGACTTGCTTTTCTTTAACTTTTCAAAAAGTCCCGGAAGCCAGTGCCAGGCGTCCGGTCGCAGGGCTGCAAGCCAGGGAGCTGGGGAGTTAGGGGCCGAGGCCTGTCCACAGACATTTGCTTTCCTTCCAGCGGATCTCTAGTCCCGGTTCTGGCCAGTGTTCGCTGCACCTTCGATTTATTCCGTGGTCGGAAGGCTCAGCGCTGCAGACGGCCCGCGGCCATCGTCTGCCCGACGCTGCAGCCCGATCTATTAGACAGGATTCTGTTATTTTAAGAAGTCGGAGGCCCCTCTTTCTCCTGGCATATTCTTCACGCAGTTCGAGTGGCCAGGACTCCGGGCGTTGCTGGGTGTCGGCTGCCGTGAGAGCCCGTGGCCAAACTCTACTCGCCTTTTCCAGCAGTGGCCAACTTGCTCTTTTATGCTGATGTGCACATTCTCTTTGTTGTCCTTCCTGACACAAGCGGGAAGCGTCCAGAAGCCCCCCAAAATAAGACAGCGAATGACTCACATGGTTTGTTTCAGTTTAGTTAATTTATGAATATTTCAATAAAGCACTATTTCTTGTGAACCACTTACATTTAGGGAGGTTATTTCCTTCACTTCCTAAGTAAATGAATAGAAGTTGGAGAAACTCATAAGATCCCTTCGACAGGAAAAGACAAAACCCATCCCTTTCTTTTCTCTGGATTCCAGACTTGCTAAAACTTGCATCGGCTTTTCGGGATTCATGATAACCCCGGTTATTACTGCAGTGCGGGGAATTTTAAAGGTACGGATTCAACCTTTGGAAAGAGGCTGGAACTTCAAATGTCTGCCAGCTGCCTCCCGTCGATTTTGCAACTTCTCCTCGGTGTGCGCAACATTCATTAGCTTAGTTCTGGTTTCTAGAGTAATCTGGTGTGGGTGGCACCACCAGAGTCAATGACAAAGAAAACAGCCTTGTTGGATTTGCACTTCATGGGGGAAAAAATAACTTTCTTTGGTCTCCCCTTCCCCAATATAATGCAGTTTTTAAAATAAATAAAGCCAAGGCAAAATGAAATTTTAAAATGCCCTATACCGTTTTTCAGAGGACCTTGAAAATGAGTGATAATGACCCACTGGTCTCTGTGCCGTTTATTTGCATATTTTCATATTTAGAACGCAAACATGTGGAAGTGAGCAAAACTGGGACCTGAGGAACCACTGCAGTGTTTTAAATTATACCCATAAAAGTATGGACTCTTGATTTATAGGCAGTTCTCTCATGCACTCAATCATTGCCTATTAATTATTATCCTCTGCACAGTTTTCCCCCACATTAGTGATTAAAAAAAAAAAAACTTCTAACCCAAAACACTGAGAGAATTCCACACCCAGCGAGCACTTAGGCACCCACCGCCGAGACTGCACCATTAGTATTTGTTATCTCCGTTTTGTTTCATCTCTGTCCTACTCATTTCTCCATCCATAAATCAATCCATTATAAAATGCTGTTTTAACAAGCTGAATTATCTACTTTTCCACCCACAGAAGTTAGGAGGCAAGGGATATCAACACCCTCAATGGATCCTGGCGCATTGACAACCCTAAGACGTGATGTGGACACGTTCATGGGACAGGTCCACAGGAGAAGAAGAGCGCAATGGTCTTAGTCACTGAGGCTGTTGCGTATGAGATGGGAAATAGTGAATTCACCACGCCACATATACCACCAACCCTGACCCTTCGTGCAGGGCAGACATTGCAACATACGCTCCTGAGATGTGGCACTTCTCAACACAACACTCGAGCCAGGCAGCCAAGGGATCAGAGTTGCCCGTCAAGTAGAAACCAATCTCTGCCATCCATGGTGGAGTGGGAGCCCTCCCTGCATGGGCCAGTAAACTCCAAGGGCAGCCGCAGCAAAGCAACACATACAGACACAGCTAGCAATGAGCCTGGGCACTAACAAAACGTGAACTCAATACATTCAGAGTCCCTGATACTTGACACCACCACTTCTCCTCTAATTTTTGCACATTCAGGTATTTTCCATTCCCTTTGCTTAAAAAAAAAAAAAAAAAAAAAAAAAAAAAAAAAAAAAAAAAAAAAAAAAAAAAAAAAGACGAAGAAAGCAAAAGTGTTGCATTACAATTCTAACCAACCTGAGAAATTTTTGTGGCCTGGGTTCCACATGGGCAGCGGTCAGGAAGTTCTCGGTCGGCAGATTTGATCTTAAGCAAAGGAAAAGGAGAACCGGGTTAATCGGGTGCACTGAGCGACCTGGGCGTGTAGGGTGTGAGGGAGGCAGGGAGCCAGGTGTACCTTTTCCTGCAAGAGCCTAGGCTGCACGGTGGGCGGGTTGCAAGAAGGGCAGGTGAAGCTCAGGTATCTGCACACTATTTTTTTTTTTTTTTTTTTTTTTTTTTTTTTTTTTTTTTTTTTTTTTTTTTTTTTTTTTTTTTTTTTTTTTTTTTTTTTTTCTGGCAGTTTCCGAATATTGCATTTTGCTTGCCTAAGCATGATTTGTTTTTTATCATTGGTACCCAGTCTGGAAGGCCTGGAAAAAACAAAAAACTTCAATGAGCTTGATTGTGAATTTTTAGGATTTTTTAGTCTACTGACTTGTTCTGTTAATGGTAGGGCAGTGATTACAGAATGACCAGCAGTAAATGATGTGATTGACAGAGGGACTTTAATATTTTTTTAAAGGGCTGCTAGGATAATTACAGTTAACTTTTTAAAAAGTTTGGCCGGCGCGGGGGCTCACACCTGTAATCCTAGCACTCTGGGAGGCCAAGGCAGGTGGATTTGTTCAAGGTCAGGAGTTCAAAACCAGCCTGAGCAAGAGAGAGAGACCCCCGTCTCTACTAAAAATAGAAAGAAATTAATTGGCCAACTAAAAATATATATAGAAAAAATTAGCCGGGCATGGCGGCGCATGCCTGTAGTCCCAGCTACTCGGGAGGCTGAGGCAGGAGGATCGCTTGAGCCCAGGAGTAGGAGGTTGCTGTGAGCTAGGCTGACGCCACAACACTCTAGCCCGGGCAACAGAGTGAGAGTCTGTCTCAAAAAAATACAAATAAAAGTTCCGGCATATGCATGGTGAACTTCATTTATCTAGAAGATTCCTGGAAGCGAACCAGCTCGTTCTCCAACGAATCGTTAAGTCAGGCGCCTTACTTAGCGTATCAGCAGAGCAATATATTTTGTGACTTGCTGACTTTGTGAGTGAAGTGAAAATATTGCTTTTCGTTCATCTTAATTGCAGCGGACTAAATTGATTCGCCTTTTGAGACCGGCCACCGGCCTGGCGAGATGACGGGAGAAGCGGCGGTGCCCGGGCGGCCAGGCCTGGCGGTGGGTCTGCGGTCTGTGCATGGAGCCGGCCTCCCGTGTTGTTTGCGTAGCTGGGCTACTGAAAATAGAGGGTTTCCCTTCCTGAGAGCCCCGGGGTCAGCAGCAATATCACATTACCACTCGGCGTGCCATAAGAGGTTTCCCGACCGTGTGAGGTTCGGAAGCACCATGTGTTGTCCCCAACTGTGTCCACAAACACTTCTGGGTGCTTCCATTCTGTTTATGGCAAAAAAAAAAGGAAGACGGTCACATCTTAAAGGTGACCCTGGTGGAGTCCCAGATAGTGGCACCACGATGCATTTTCCGTTCCTCCGGGTGGTCTTTGGCCAGAGCTGGGGAAGCGAGAATACGAGGCGGTGTCTGAACTCTGCAAGACTCACCTGCGTCGGCACCAGCCGGACACGGATGGAGAACAGCAACCAGGGCAGGTTCCCCAGGTCTAGCGGCAATGAAGTTCCAAAGGAGGGAAAACCCTTTTACACGCTTAAAATTTGCTGTGGACTAAAACGCAAATGCAGGTTATCTCCGTAAACGCTCTCAGGACTCCACCCACCCCCATTGTAGGTGATATTTTTGATATTGGCAAGCTGGAGCATTGACAACTGACAATTGTGTGTTTCTGGAATTGCATTTTGGCTGCAGGAGCTTTTGGGGAGGGCTGGCGGGCTTTTTGCAGCACAGCAGAAACAAAACGACTGTGAAGACACTAGTTCGTAATCTATGCATCACACTCATCAGGGATGTGTGTGAGCATAGGTGTGTGAGTTTGTGTAGTGTGTGTAGGTTTGTGATGTATTTCATCCGCTGCAGACCCAATATCTAGCAGCGACTGTGCAGATTCGGTCGTTAAGGGAAGCACCATCCAAACCCAGTCTGGTCAAGTCATTAGCGTTCTATCCTTGCTAATGAGCTGATTGAAGGTTGCATAATAGATTAATTTTAAATCGAAGTTAACGCCACCATGCTCAAGGATAAAGAAGGGAGTAGAAGGACAGTGATACACAGCGTCCTGTGTCCTCTGCGGTTCTGAACCAAGCAGGCTGTGACACTCACCATCAGGTGAGCCCGTCTCTCGTGATGCCCAACGCTGACCACCGTGTTCCGGAAGCCCACGCTTCAGGAAACTGACAAAACAGGGAGAGGTTGTTTGGCAGAGATACTGCAAGAAACACCACTTGATGCAGAAGTTGAGTTTTTAAAATGACACCAGAAACGAGAGTGAGCCCGCTTTGTTCCAGAGGTCCTATATTCATTCGTAGCTCAATGAGCAATTATGCGTACACGCGTTTACCTTTGCATATAGATACACGTACACACATACACATACGTGTCCATATGCATATGTACACACAATAATATACACACATGCACCGGCTCCATACCCTCCCACTAGGAGAGCCACAGAAAACTCATATTCCTGAGTTTTCTTGCAAGATGCTTTATCTCCGGCAGCGGAAAAAAAAATGGCCAACGTGGTTTGGGGGCACCTTGCTACATTAATGGCCCACTGATGGCATTTGCTATATAAGGTCACGCCTTTGATTTCTGTTGATTTGTGTCCCTGGGCAATGGTTCCCAAGCCAGGTGTCCTATTTCGGATATTAAAGAGAAGGTTTTATTGCTGTTGTTGTTGTTGTGTTGTTGCATTGTAAAGTGGTGCTGATTTTCTAAACTCTCCTGGGCTGCTCTAGCAAGTCCCCGCTCACCCGGGGCTCTGGTATTCCGGGGATTCCCAGCTGTCCCCTCAGGCATCACGCTCGCTGCCACCCTGCCCTGACCTCTGACACCATGCCAGGCAGCTGCTCCTCACCTGCTGCCCCCCGTCCCTTCCTCTGTGTCCACACAGGCAGAGCCCCCTACATGGTAGTTCCTAACGTTTATAATTTTGCTTTATTGATTACATAGAGTCAATCTTGCACAAAATAATATTTGTACATGGGGCCATTTTAAGGTTGAAACCAGGATTTTTTTTTTTTTTTAAGAAATGACACAAGACCTGGATACGATTGTGGCTTCCTCCGAGGGTGACTGGAGTGTCAGCATCCTACGACCCCACAATTCCAGCCCTAGGCACATCCCCCCCACATTGAAAGCAGGAGCTCCAAACAAAAATGTGTCCATCTGCAATCATAGCAGAATTCTGCTCCTCGTACCCAAGAGGCAGAAACACCCCAGAGGCCCATCAGCTGCTGAAGGGATGAGCAAATGTGGTCCGGCCTATGTTGAAACATGATTCAGCCGTGAACAGGAGAGAGGTGCTGACACACACTCCAACATGGATGAACCTCGAAAACCTCACGATAAGTGACGGAAGCCAAGACACGTTGAGCACATGTTGTAGGCTTGCACATATACGAAACATCCAGAACGGGCACATCCACAGAGACAGCACACACATCAGTAGCTGCCAGGTGGGTGGGAGGAGTGATGGGGGCTGGCTGTTAAGGGCTCCTGCATTTCCTTCCAGAGCAACAAGAACCTTCCGGAACAAGACGGTGGTGATGGATGGGCAGCCTCGTGCACGCACTAGATGCCGCTGAATTGTTCCCTTCAAATGGGAAAGATGGGTGAATTTTTCCTTATGTAACTTTTAACAAAATAAAAAAAAAAATCAGACGGCTGCTTTTCAAAATTATTTTAACCATTTAGGTCTTGACATGACCTGATAAAGTTTATGGGTTTTTTTAAGCTGGTGCAAAAACTACAGAGCCTTAAACAGTCTCCAGATAGCCTTTTAACCCCTAAATAGAATAAGAGTCGATAATCTGACAAATTTCTAAATCACACACATGACTTTTGCATTGCTTTATAAAAAACCATCATATAATGGATACGCTCTTATTTGGAAACAAGGGAATGTTGTATTTTTAAAATCAGAAACACAAGATTCTAGATAATTTTTTCCCTCTAAGAACCAGAAGCTAAAAACTGTCTAATGGAGAATCAAAGAGGCTGGTGTGCCGCTAGATACTATATTTCTAAATTAAAAGTTCATAATGTATTGTTTGAGCTAATAGTCAGGGTCAGTCTTTATTTATGTCTCCATGTATAATTTACATCCTATGTATTTTGCAGAAGACCTGAGGCCTCTGTGCTAGCCCCATGTGTCGACTGAATAGCTATGTTTTGTGCTGTGTAATTTCAGGAGTATTAGAAAGGTTCTTCCCACCCAAAAATCAAATGCACATGCCTGAAATCCCACTGTTACAAACAGTTTTGATTTTCGTATCTTCCAGGCTCCTCTAACAAAGCGTGACTACTCCTGAGGATGGTAGAGCCTTCGGCCTCCCAAGCGTCAGCTACATAAATGAATCCGGGGGGGATCAGCCCCAGTAGTGACTCTGCCATGTCAGGGTTTGCACCTGTGACAGGAGTGGGCACGCGCCTGGGACCCTCAGCACCCTCTCAGTGCAGCTCGTCTACGCTGGCTTGAATATTCCTCTCTCGTATTTCCCTCTGCCTGCTACAGAGGCAAACCTAGTACTTAACTTTGGGGACTTGAGTCAGGAAAGGGGACAGCCTTAAGAAGGGCAATTCTCTTCTGTAAAGCCCAAGGCTACCATGCTTGTTCGTGGCCCTGGGTGCCCTTCCTCGCTCTCCTTTGGGAGAAGGCACTTCTCGAGTGACCTGTGCTTTGTGTACCCAAGCGCCTCTCCTTTGGGGCAGGTTCATTTTGTTTCGGGAACGGGCACCGGGAGGCATGGCTGAAACTGCTGCAGAGGTTTGCGTTTCAACAAATCATCCGAACCATCCAAGTTAAGCGCCGGGGAAGACGGAGACTGTAACACAGTGCACGGTTGACGCAAGTGCCTCCCATGACTCGGACCAGAGCGAGACAACCCCCCGGGGTCTGTGCCTTACGGCCTCTGTGGAAAACATTCTCCAGTGCTCTTTGGAAGAGGATGACTCATGCCAGAGGGTATTTTTAGGGATCCGTTAACTTGCACTTAGCTTAGAGATGCAAGATCCAATTCGGGAGGAGCCGTTACACACAAGCTGTTTTGAATGTTGTAATTGTACCACGGTTTCTTGGTCTGCGGAGTGAGTCATCCTCTAGTTAAGCAGAAGAGGAAAAACAGAAAGAGACTGTTGCTACAACAGGGCATTTGATAAGATGCGAAGGAAATCAATGCCAGCAACGGCATCGTGTTTATCTTTACAGAAGAGCACCTGCTGGTCCCAAGCGCATCTTGCAATACTCGCTCAAGTTTTGCAAAGTCACTCCTGGACATTTTTAGGAATACATTGAAATACCGGCACTGATGTTAGAGGCAGACATAGTCGAATATGTTAAAATGCCTCTTGAAGCAACATCAACTTGAAATAGTGCTCATAAATGTGCATCTTGCTCTTCAGACCATGGGAGAAACGGGCAAGTTAGAACAGCAAGGAGCCGCCTGTGGAAGGTTAAAACAGCAGGGAACATTTTTCCCTGGAAGGCCGGACTCTCCCAAATATGTGTACGTATATGCTATGTGTGAATTTGCATTTATGCCTATATATGTGCATGTTCGTGTGTGTGTGTGTTGTGTTTGCATGTATATATGTGTGCGTTTGTGTGTGTATGTTGCATGTGTTTATGTGTGTGTATTTTTTGTGTTTATCTGTGTGCGTTTGTTTCTGTGGGTGTGTTTGTACATGTATATGTGCATTTATGGGTCGTGTGTAGTTTAGTTACTAAATATCAATACCAGTTAAGTACAAATCATTCCACCCACCTGCCAGGGAGTAAGTGGGTTGTGTGCAGAGCTTTCAAAGCTGAGAAGTGGAATCTTTGTTTCAGAGTCAGGAAAAGGAAATTCTGCTATCAAATGTCTAGAGTAATGGTTTGATATGGTTTGGGTTTGGTGGCAAGAATCTCTTGTCTTCTAGTAACAATCAAAAGCCAAACAAAACAAACAAGTGCCAAAAAGAGAGAGAGAAAGGGAGGAAGGAAGGAAGGAAGAAGGAAGGAAGGAAGAAGGAAGGAAGGAAGGAAGGAAGAGAGGAGGGAGAGGAGGGAGGGGGAGGGAGGAGGGAGGAGGAGGAGGAGGAAGGAGGGAGGGAGGACGGGGAGAAAAAGGAAAGAAGGAGGAAGGAAGAGGAGAAAGAAGGAGGAGGAAGGGGGAGGAGGAAGGAGAAGAAAGAAAGAAGGAGGGAGAGGAAGAAGGAAAGAAGGGAGGAAGGAAGGAAAGAAGGGTGGGAGGGAGGGAAGTATCATTCAACCTGAATATCATATTTCTTTGACTGTTGATGTTTTCCTCCTTCTTGTCTACATTTTTTCCCTGCCTGATATTGAGATTATTTTTCGAAGTTGTTTTGCCTGTACATCCAAGTTTCTATCCAACTATCCCTTGCCAGGAGACGACAGTCTGCTCTGACTGATACGCTGCCTTACCTGACATGTCTGGGGCTCAACACACATGCAATGAACTTGGGAATCTTCTCCAAGGAGAGCCGTGGTGACTAGGAGCTCCCCCAGCTACATTTTGCAATCTTTCCCCCTTCACATCAGTATTATTAAAACAGATGGTGCCTTTCCAGGGCAGCTACACAACCAATTTTAGAGAGTAAATTGGAAGGTTGATGTTTCCTTTTAAATAAGTGAAGGATAGCTGGTCCACCTCAGCCAAGAAAGCAAACCAGATCTCAAATTTTACCCGAAAATTCAAACCACTATAAAGCAGTCCTTAGCTTGAAAAAAAAAACAAACAAAAAAAAAAAAAACAAAAAAACGAAGAACAAAAACACTACGTAGGATTCTCACATCGAAACTGTGATATGATTTTCATGTTTCACTTCATGCTGAAAAGCAGGAACAGCAGTTTCTTGGAACAGTATTTTTGGTCTGTCCAAAACTGAGGATGTATCAGATAATTCATGCAAAATCTTGTCCTGATACAATTTCCAGTCATCTCTCTGGAATCGAAAATATTTGGTGGAGAAGCAGCTGAACCCTGGTGCTAGAGTTGAGCCCCCAAATGGTCACTGTTGAAGGACTATTGATCATTAAAGTGAATTCCCAAAGCATAATATAGCCAAACACTCCCATTTATATGCAAATAGAATATGAAAAATACACACGTTAAAAACCTTTACCCTTTATGTTTTCACAGATGCTTATGTTCAACCTTCCTGCATGCTTAATTTAGTCACGATCTTGTCTCTCCAAATTCTCATTAATTGTCCATTTCGGTATTTTCCCTACTATTAGCAGAACAGCCAATGGCAACAGCTTGGTATTTGAATTTTCCTCCTAGTTATTGTTCCTAAACTCCTAATTACAGGAAGTATATATACTTACTTATATACAAGATTTCCCCCTTCATATGTTTGCATTTATATATATATAAAAAAACAATGTAGCTGTGTGTATGCTTGTCATAGCAGCTGGTACTACCCTGGCTATTGCATTCCTTTTCCAAAGAACTGCAAGGATTAGGCTGGACACATTTAAAAATGACTTCAAACCAGTCAGTGAAATAACAAGCGTAGAAATCTATCTGTATTAGAGTCCGATGATGCTTTCTAACTCTTTTGGCAGTTCTAGCCTTGTTGGAGTCAATGATTAAACCCGAAATGGTTGACTTTTCCTCCTGCTTCCTCTGTTTGATTTCTCTGTTTTAATCTACGAAGTGCTGTGGGGCTGTCATGCGGGCACCCTATAAATTATCTCGGAACGTACACTTTTGCGTCAATTTGTTCTACTAAATTTAAATTAACATATCCTCTTAGTTCATTATTTAGAAAGCTGTCTTTTGGCCTATGTCTTAGAGAGATGCCCTAGGAGTTTTGATTTGCGCCTTCCTATTTCAAAGCCGATGCAGAAGGAAATCCAGGCAAGCCTGGGCGGTGCCTGAGGGAGAAAGGGAGTCTGAGGGTCAGAGAACACCCCATCCATCTGAGCGTAACAGGATATGGACTGTGAGAATTCTGCATTAAAATTAAACAACTCTAAAAGTATAAATTAATTGCCAGTGGAGAAGAACAGTGCCTTAAGTGGGATAAAGAGGATAATGAGACTAGAAATAGAAGTCATAAAAATAGAAGATGTTTTAACCACACAATTTTTCAAGGGGTCAGCTCTGGACACAAGAGTCCTCGATGAGTTTTCTGCTGCTACTGAGACGAATCACCACAAGCTCAGCGGCTTCAGCCGGCACACGCTCACCTTGCAGCCCTGGAGCTGAGGAGCCCGACCTCTCCCTGGATGCAATCCACTGTCCCAGTGCCCCCCCTCCCCCGACCACCTGTTGTCACAGGCTCTCGGGTAAAGTCAGCCTCACGATACATCACCCCACAATATGACCGTAGGAAGCCGGATGACACCTGCCCAAAATATGCCTTTATTATTTTTCAGAAACTGCAGACACGGAAGAAGCTCTGGAAAGTTCCCGTTTTACAAGAGAAATTTACAAGAAAAATCTCCATTGTTGAGAATGGCTCCCTGTCTGCACCAGGAAGGAAGGCGAAATGGCTAGAGATTCCTTTTTATGTTTGTTTGTTTGTTTGTTTGTTTGTTTGTTTGAAACAGAGTCTCACTCTGTGGCCCCAGGTAGAGCGCAGCAGCGTCATCATAGCTCACAGCAACCTCAAACTCCTGGGCTCAGGTGGTCCTCCTGCCTCAGCCTCCCGAGTAGCTGGGACTACAGGCATGCGCCATCATGCCCGGCTACTTTTTCTATTTTTAGTCTAGAGGGTCTCACTCTTGCTCACTCTTGCTGAACTCCTGAGCTCAAGGGATCCTCCTGCCTCAGCCTCCCAGAGTGCTAGAATTACAGGTGTGAGCCACCATGCCAGCCTAGAGATTCTTACCTATAGAGGAAAGAAAGCATGGACTTACATTTGCACAGCTAACCTCGCCCTTGCCTACGGGACTTTTCCTGCCATCTCATCCTTGATCCAGCCTTCCCTTGCTGGAACAAATGGTGATATTTCAGCCTCAAGTCCACGACAACTGTTTTGGATCTTCTCTCCAGATTTACTCGTTTCTCTGGTTATTTCCCACGCATGCAGGAGGTATGCATGTTATAGGACTTCTGTTTGGTTTTCTATTGTTAATCTACCTTTTGTTACCAGGAGCCACAGCTAAGAACTCAGGATGGTGGAGGAGAAGCTGTTCTCCCTTCCCTAACCTGCGTCCGCTCCTGCAGCTGCCCGCAACCCTGACTCAGGGCCCCTTCTCCACCTTCAGAGCCCGCAGTGGGGCATCTTTCCATCTCCCGGACTCTGAGCCTCCCACCTCCCTGTCCCACTCAGAAGGAAGCTTGTGATTATATTGGATCTGCCTGGATAACCCAGGCTAATTTTCCCACCTCCAAGTCAGCCGATAATTAGCCGATAATTAGCAGCCTTAATTGCATCTACAAGCTAAGTTACACTTGGCTGTGTAACTTCTGCCTGTTCACGGGTCCAGGTTAGGTGAGGATGTGGACCTTGCAAGGCAGAAGAACCACCCCGAAACATGGCCCCTTGGCATATGGGCTATTTGGTGCTGAAGACAATGGAAAAGCAGTAGATACAAGAAAGACGACCCCTCATTGGCTCATGGCAGGACATAAACTTGCAAAGGAGGTGTCTTCTCTCCTCTCTCTTCTGGAAAGGACTGGAGTTAAGCAGCTGAGATAGGGCTGGTCCCTTATCAGCCTGAAGGGACCAGAGGAATCTATACAACAAACCACGATAATTAGCCCTATTTTCCATCACTTCCCCAGGTATTTACCGTCCCACAATTTGCCACCATAGAAACTTAAAATCCTGTTGCTTTGTCCTGTCTCTTCTCTAAACATGCCCACTTTCTCCCATCCAAATACTAGCCAGGCCCCACCCTACTTAGCTTCCAAGATGAGATGAGATCGGGCGCGTTCAGGGTGGTATGGCCATAGACAAGATGCCCATTTTCTTACCACCCCTCAGAGTTACTCATAACTAGGTTTTCCTGTGTGTAGGCATGAAGCGGGTGTTAGTAAACTTCTGTTTGTTTTCCTCTTGTTAATCTGCCTTTTGTCAGTCTAACCTACAGGGCCCCAGTCATCAAATTTAAGATTGACAGAGGAAAAAAGAAAACTTTCTCCCCTACAACATCCTTGGGAGGGGGGTGCGTTATTCTACCTACCACAGATACCTGCCCTTTGAGACTGAGAGGGTTGTTTCTAATTCCTGCGCTCATGGGTTTATCCGCCGGACAAGCACTCATCCAGCGGACGCTCTGTTCCAGGCAAGGCACAGACGCCGGATCTGAACAGGACGGTGGGAATAGCTACCTACCGAGCCCACTGAGACCCTCCCGATGGGTGAACAGTGAAGGCAGGCTGCAGAAGCACATGCCAAGGACCTCGGCGTTCCCCGCGGCCATCGAGTTAGGACCTGGACACGTCTGAGACAAATTTGGTACACGCCACGAGATGTATTGGGTTCGGGCCCGCAGGGTGGGATCAGAGCTCACAGCAGGAAGACCCTCTTCCCTGCTGCCAGGGTCTGAGCACTTACAGGAAAACCCCGACCTCCACACAGCCCCGACTGTCCCTCTCACACAGCCCCGAGTGTCCCTCTCACACAGGCTGATGAGTCAGCTTCACCAAAAATCAAGAAATCGTTCTGGATAGCAAACTAAAATGCAGGCCAGTCTTGGGGTCCTCTCTGTACAAAGACGCCCCTTTCAAGAGGCGAGACGAGTTATCGGGCTTCCAGGCCCTTGATAGATAAATGTCGTGCAGATGGGTGGTTACGAAACCACTGTGCTCATCTTATAGACCTGAGTTCCTGCCAAGTGCACGCAGACGTGGGTCCTCTCAAACTGCGTTGCGGTTGGCAGCACCTCCCCCATAGACGCCCATCTGTGCTGCGTGGCCACGACCCATCTGTGCCGCGTGGCCACGGCAGGTCGGCCGCCCCGGGAGGGGCGAGGGGCTGGCTAACGCCAACTGCTAAATGAGGCTCACAAGGAGAGTGGCAGGGGGAGGACGAGGACGGCAGAGAAAAGCGCAGGACCCAGCAGAGAATCACTTTTCTCTGTGATAGCCCTTGCATCCGTCCTCGGGGAGCCTGGTACCCGCCTCACCCCACTCACCTTTCGCAGAAGATCCCGAGCTCCCTGCTGGCCTCGCTTTCCTGCTCCCATCTTTTTTTTTCTTTTCCAGAGTGCTATTATATTTGGAGAGAGAAAAATGTGTAGCAAAGAGAAAGATAAAACCCTTTCATAAAAATGATCAAATTCTACCCTGACTGGGGGCATCCTGGCTGCTGCCAAGTTTCACATCTCAGACCACAATAGCCCAGCAGGGACGGACCTGTTGCTGGGTTGTCTCTGTCCAACCGTGGGGCAAAGGTCTCTCGTTTCTCTTCTCGCTTCTTACCTGCTGCAGCCCTCCACGCCGTCACTCTCCGACAACATCAAAGGGAAAGAACGACCCTCAGCTGGTGTCCACGGCCAGGGATTTCTGGGCAGCGGTGGGGAAGACCTAGAAAACAGGTGAATTCTTCTAGGTGAGAAACGGCTGAGCGGGACACGTGGAAAAAATGCTTGTCGCGTCAGTGACCTGGGCTCTCAGCAGCATCCGATTCTATTTGTTAAACATCCCACCCACCATTGTGCTGTTTTTGGAATTATGTCATGCCCTCCCGGGACACATTTAATAAACAGACACATTTAGGAGGCACCTGTTGGAAACAAAAGCCGCTGACCTGTTTGTTAAGTAAATGTTATAGATCTCACGGAAGATGTTACCAGGCGGGACAGTGCCTTTAACGTCTACTTTTGCAAACAGATCCCATTTTCTTTGCTGCTATACAAAAAAGCAAACTCTTTATAATCCCCTTCTCAATATTTTTTTTATATATTAGTACTCATTTTAAAATGTCATTTACTTTGTTATCTACAGAGTGACTCAATCACAAATCTACTCAGAGTTTTCAAAGACAATGAAGAGGCAGAACCTGTCACTGTGTTCATGGCTTGCTAGCTAGTTATTATAAATGCAATTAACTCCAACAGGTGCTAGCAACTCTCCCTTTACCCACCTCATCTCTTTCATCTTCTTCAATTTCATTTTTTTGTTCCTGAAGAGTGAAAGTTACCCGCAATTCCTTCGAAGAACACCTGCTCTCAAACCTAATGCCTTCACTACCACTAGTGCCTAACCTAATGCCTTCACTACCACTAGTCTGAGAAACACTTTGGACCTGAACAACTTAATATTCCCATTTCTGAGTCATTTCCTCCCCATAGTTTCACCGAAGAGGACAGAAAACAATGTAAACACCATAACTGACAAAGATGTGACTCACAGATTCTGTGGACAACAGGAATCCATGTTCTATGTATATTCCAATCCAAACAACCTCCAACCAGAACATCATGTCTCATAGGAGTTCCAGGATTATTTTAAATGGAGCCCAGTGGAAACAAAGAGAATCTGGAATACATAAATACCAAGCTGCCCAGGACAGTGGAATGTGCTTGAAACAGGAAAGCAAATCTCATATATAAAACTGGTAACTGATTTAGAACTGAAAATATATGTCCTGTGAGATTAGGATGGACGTATCACTTAAAGTGCAGCCTCTGCTACCATTTTAAAAAAATGCAATACAAAAATCACAGCCTGCCTGGGGGCTGAGTCAGCTTGGCAGTGAGAATAAAGCATTGAATGGCCAGTGAAACTGAGCCCAACTTTTCTTTCTTTCACCAGAAATACAGGTAGGGAGGAGCAGCTCTGTGCTGTGACAAATCAGTCAATATGTGTCTAGTCTCCATCTTATTTGTGCCTAGGCTGTGCAAGGTGCCGGAAACATAGGTACCAGTAAGGTGGACAAAGATCTGCCTTTACGGGGCCAGTTGCCCAGAGGGTAGGAAGGGCATGAAACTGATCATGAGGAAGCGCAGAAAAGAGAAACAAAGAGGTGACATGAAATTGTAGCCAGATGTGTGGAATAAGATCTCAGACTGCTCCCCTTCAAATACTGGTTCCCACATTGCAAGGAATGATCTTGAACAGGACACAAAGGTCTCCGAGCCTAAGTTTCCCCCGAGTGTAAAATCAGAGAATTCCTAGTAGCTCCCCGACAGTGTTGAATGAGGATTAAATGTGTGAATGCTTGCAAACTGCTCACACAGTATGCCTGGCACAGGGTAGAATGCAAGCATGTTAGCAAGGATTATTTTTGCAAAATTTATTCTCGTGTTATAAGTTTTACGTTTAGGTCCCGGTTATATGAATTGCACACCATCCAGGGAAAATTGCGTCTTTAAATGCTCAATAGCATACGTACTTTCTCTGTCCCTAATGAAGTAATTTGTAGATAATAGCACTGTCTTTGTTTACTATTACATTCTAATTCCAACTTGTGCATGATACAGGATGGAAGAGAATACAAAATGAAATGGTTTCTTACTTCCACATTTCAAGCAGGGGCTGAACTAAATGAATAAAGAAAGAACAAACCATCTCTCGGGTTATACTCCAACCCTTCTCTCAAGATCTATGTTTCTAAGACAGTGAACATTTTCTCTCTCTCTCTCTCTCTTTTATTTTGTTAGTTTTGTTCGTTTTTCACATGCTAGTTTGTTTAAAGCAGCATAACTCCCAGAAACACCAGGCACCATTAGAGTTAAGTGAGTCAGCAATTATAACTCATATTTATCGGGAGTTTACTTACAGCCAGACACAATGCTTAAGAACCTTAAGCAATTATCCTGTGATAAGGGCTACAGAGAAGTAAAACTAAGTATCTGTGCTGTGGCTCCCAGCTGCCTCAGTTCAGCACTCAGTATATTCATCTGGGGAAATCTCTCCCCACCCCAAAATCAGAAAGATTTCATTATTAGCCTCATTTTCTAAGGCCAGTTTTTTAGGCAACTGAAATGAAGTAAGGTCAACACCAGGCTCCCAGTAATCAGTAGAGAAGACCTCAAACCCAGGATTCCAATTCCTCTACCCTCTGAAATTTGGAAGAATCAGCTCCATGAGCATAAATCATCAAGAATCAGGTACTACATCATACTAACTTGACATATCTCACACCAAAAGAAGGGGCCACAGTTATTTTCACGGCTCTGTGTGTGCTTGTGTGTGTGTGTGTGTGTGTGTGGTGTGTGTGTGTGTGTGTATGTGTGTGTGTGAGGTGCCTAGTTCACCAGACACTAGAACTGTTGAACAAGAGGGCCAAAAATTTGCCTATTTTACTCTAGTTCCAGAATTTTTGCCAAGATAACCACTTAGTAAAAACAAGTCCGTAGTCTTTATCTTGATGGAACTCTTCCAGTATGCGATGCCTACACATTTGAGGACATAGAATCCTCTTCTTCGTTGGATTAGACTGTCAATTCCAGTAAGCTTTGCTCTGGGGACAGGCAGGGAGGCTCGATTCCACGAAAGGAAATTAGTGGGGACAGAGGAAACCCTTCCACTTGGACACCAGAGCAGCTCTGCCGCTGCAAAGAAAAAATAAACCATAGCTGACGGACGTATGCGCGAAGGGATCGCAGCAAACCGCCGTACATCTGTGTTCAACTAGAAGGAAGAAGTCAGCTTTGCACCATGTGTTCAACTCACCATTTGTGGCAGCTGCATTATTTTAATTTACTGTCAGTATTGGCTCAATGCGACAATGCATTTTATCCTGGGCTCTGTCTGAAAGCATGAACTGGTTCAACTATGTGTGTCCCAAGAATTGGCTGATTCTCCTCTGTATCATGTTGGCTCGACATTATTTGAGACAAATGCTCAGTATATCATTCCCTTTCCCCTTGGCATGACTCATCACCCTTCAAACCATACCCTCAATTGACCCTAATCTCGCGTCTCATTGATCTCGTCCTGCTGGCTTCAGATTCATATGTACATGGGCTGTATTCTGTCCCGAACTCTGACTCATTAGATGTTGGCATTACACTTATGGCACTTGTCATTTCTCAGAGCACGTGGGTTTGGTGCCCACCCTGGCTCTCGGGCCGGTGTCTGTCCTGGTGAATGTCTTTCATGGGCCACCACCTTTGGTGATTGAGCAGAAAGGATTCTGCCATATTTTAATGGTAAGTGGTCACTGGAATTAAAAAAAAAAAAAAGAAAGAAAGAAAGAAATTGAGAAAATGTTGAATAATCAAGGTATTTATCCAGAACCAAATAATTCCCTTTTTGTTATGGTGAGAAAAAAAGAAATGTAATTTTAGAAGTTGGTGCACATAGAGGTGTTGGCTCCCGGCATCACAGGAGGCCTCCATTTGCAGATTCTGACTATTAAGTAGACATCAAGATCAAATAGGAAGACAGTCTACTCGAGCAGGGAAACGCACTAAGGACAAGAGACACTCAGGAAGGCGGGGGTAGGAAAGAAAACCTCCTGGATCTCATTACATTTTGAGGGGATTCTTTTCTACCCAATTACCTTCTCAATGCTGAGATGGACAACAATTTAGGGACCCACAAATCTTAGCCGACTCACTGGCCTTCTTGATCCTAGACGAGCAAGGTATGAAGGGAAGAATAAGTCCCCCTGTTCTATGCCACCTGTAGGACCATTATAGTTAACAATAATAGATTACGAAGCTTCCAATAGCTAGAAGGAGGGTGTCGAATATTCCCCAAAGAAATGATACATATTTGGGATGATGGAAAGGCTAATTACCCTGATCTGATCACTATACATTATGTGCATCGAAACAGCACACCCTATGAATATATACAAATATTGCGTCAATTAAAAAAAATAAAATTGCCCGGGTGCGGTGGCTCACGCCTGTAATCCTAGCACTCTGGGAGGCCAAGGCAGGCGGATTGCTCGAGGTCAGGAGTTCGAAACCACCCTGAGCGAGACCCCGTCTCTACTAAAAATAGAAAGAAATTAATTGACCAACTAAAAATATATATAAATTTATAAAATTTATAATTTATAAAAAATTAGCCAGGCATGGTGGCACATGCCTATAGTCCCGGCTACTCAGGAGGCTGAAGCAGGAGGATCACTGGAGCCCAGGGGTGTGAGGTTGCTGTGAGCGAGGCTGACGCCATGGCACTCCCTGTAGCCTGGGCAAAGTCTCAAAAAATAAAATAAAATAAAATAAAATTTAAAAACAGAAGGAAGATATACACCAGCAAATGCAAGTGGGGGCAAAGCCTTTTCCACGCAGAGCAGCCTCTCGTGCAGACCTCTCCACCCTGCCCACATCAGTGCTGTGCAAGTGTCACACAGTGCTAATTCTCCTTTCCGTCATCGTGTTCCCATTTTAGACGTAATCCGACCTATAAGACAAGCTTTCGCCAGCTGTGAAACATGTTTCCTAGCGTGGCTTCAATGCTTAGAAGGACTTGAAGGAGAAACTGTAAGGGCTGGCTTGGCCAAAGGCAAGAAATAGTGTCTCAGGCTGAGGATGGAGATATTTACTTAAGAAAGTTATCCAGATTTTAATGGGGAAGATCTCATCACTTACCAAAATGCGTGTGTCTCAGGATTAAAAATGTAATACATGCTATTTTATGTATCCTCAGGCATGGGAACTGGGGTATTATATTACATATTGTTCTGTTGTAATAGAGTTGTAAAAATATAGCTTAATTCTTAAATGGGAAAGATGAGCAATTTCATAAATTCAACCTATTTAGTATTTAGTAGTTGTATGCCCTGACTTTCATATGCTGCATATATAATTAAAATATATAACAATACCTTAACACCGTTCTAGCTTATACTAATAAAGGTCCTGGGCATCGTGGTATTATATGAATAACTGCATATAAGATGACCCTTTGTGTCTGCAGAGTAGTTAATGATTTCCCTAGTTCTTACTGCTTCTGACATACTTAGATAATTGCATAAATTGAGGCATGCCCAAACATTCCATTATTGTTAGCGCAATAAACAGATTTCGCCATCCAATTATGCTAACATAAATGAAATAAGAATGTAATAACATAAAACTTTTTAGAATTTCATTAGTCATTAGGGACACAGTAGAGATAAGCAAATGATTAACATTTCAGCTATTCCAGTAGTTTTAATAGTTTTAGCGTCTAATTTAGTTAGAAATGCGCATGCCTACTTTGAGGTCCAGAGCTGCAGATAATCATGTGATAAGTGGAAAACCGATTTGCCAGAAACATGGCATTATGGACAAATGCATCAAGACACAATTTAATTTATTTAAAATAATATGAAATGTATGCACAGACAACAACACCAAAGCCTGTCTCAGCCTGAGCTCTGGGCAGAAAAATAAAATAAAAGTTGATAAAATTTAAAACCATAAGCCTGCACCTAGGACATGTTTTTAAGAACTTTGAGAACTTGCATTGACACCATTCATGTGACCCTGGGACCAGCAAACCCAGCTGCAAACTAAAGAATGAGTCCCAGGCCAGCGGTCAGTCTGAGGCTCATGGCAAAAGTAAATAAATACCCTCTCCGGACATTGCCCAAGTCCAGACCACAGGGCGGGCTCTAAACCATAGCCTCGCGTTAGATCTAGAGTTATGAAGCACAGCGTTCGCGAACATCCACGCGTAAAGTGAAAGTCAAGCCTCAACTCAGTGGTTTGAAATAATAAAATGGCAACCTGAAAAGGTATTATTAAAAGAATAAAGAGAAAATGATTCAAGGCATAAATAATCAAAGCCCTAAGAGGGAGGGGAGGGGAAGACACAATGAAAAAAAGGTATAAGCAACACTCAAAGGGAACTTAAAGGAATAAAAAATATACTTTTTGCAATTAAAAATCAATGGATGGATTTAAGAACAAGTACAACACGGTAAAAAAACAGAAAGTTTCCAAGAAGATACTGGAGGACATGGCACAGAATCACACCAAGAAATACCAGGAAGTTACGCACAGAAGAGTGAACGTGCATGGGGAATAGAATGAAAATATTCTACTAATATATGAATAGGAGTTCTAGAAAACAAGAATGGAGAGACTCAGAAAATGTGAAGTGCTAATGACTGAATTTTCAGAATCGATGAGATTTGAACATCTTCAGAGCCAAGATTCATAATAAGTCCTAAGTGAAATGAATAAAAATAAATAAACATAAAAATAAACATTTTAATGACTTTGAGATGAATGTAAAAAAAGAAATCTTTGTGACATTTGGGGAAAGAGAATTTCTTTTTAGGCCAATCTTAGAAAGCAAACACTGCGGAGAAAACAAATTTGATGAATTTGATTTCCTTATAATTCAAAATTTCTCCATGAAAAACAGATATCATAAAACAACTGAATAAAATAAAAAAAAAACCTAGAAAAAGATCTCTATGGTTTATATAAGCAAGAAAAAGTTATTATGCATAATATCTGCAAATACTTACAGTGTAAAAACAAAAGATAAATAAGCAAATAGATGAAAAGGAAATTTACAAAATAAAAAAAATGTCTAATAAGATCATAAAGGGTGGTCAGCTTCCTTAGCAATCAGAGAAATGCAAATAATCCCATAATGAAACACAATTTAATACCCAACATACAGCCACAGTTGAATAAGTCTGATAGCATTTTGGCAGAAATGGAGGAAATAGGATTATACATTGTTTGAGGGAGTATAAATGTGTATAATAACTTCAGACAGCAATTTTGCAATACCCGGTAAAAATGGAGATGCACATATTCCAAATCAGCCATTCTTTAGGTTAATTGTAGACCTTAGAGAATAATCTCACACATGTTCACTGCCTTGCATGTACAAGACTATTTTTTGTGGCAGTGTTTGAAATAGTAGGAAAGCGATAACAACTGTCACTTAGAAGGTGGGTGCATAATTACCTGGTTTATTAACTGTCACTTAGTGAATACATAATTGCCTGGTTTATTAACACAGTGGCATACCGTACAGCAGCTAAAAGGAATGAACTGAATCTATATTTACATAGATAAACCTCAGAAATGTATAGCAAGGAAAGCAAAGTTGCAAAATGATATAAATCCAACAAGATGCATACCAATTGTGAAAACGCTGCAGTATGTATTAGTTATGGATGCCTAGCTACATTTTACAAATATAGAAACAAATAGAGGAAAGGCAAAAATTCAGATTCAGAATATTAGTTAATTCTGGGGTGTGGTGGGTAGCAAAAGGATCAAGTGAAGCTTTAACTATCTTTTCAGGTTCACTTTTTAAAAGGGAGATAAAGTCAGAAATGCAGATGGACAGAAAGAGACTGTTCACGTACAAAAGAGAGAAATAAAACAAGCTGTTGGAAAGTGCTCATTCCCAGTAGATGGGACACAAGCATGTCTGATATTATTTTCTGCATTTTTGTCATGTTTGGAATGCTTCAGTAATTGTAAAAAAAAATGCGAAAGTTTTAATCAATATACTCTAGAATAACATAAAATATGTACATTGGAAAAATGTGAGCTTGTATGTGTAGAAACAAGTGCAAAAGAATCTATACTGTGGTGCAGATAATTCAAAGCATCCCTTATAAATAAGAACACAAGTTTCTAGATTATTCTGATCTAAATTTAACACAAAATAATAATCTGATTTGATAGTAGTAGCAAAGATCTTGGAGTGTTAGTGTAATGGTTTTAACACATGCAATTGCTGCTGTCATTTCTATTTTGTGCCTGTGGAAATTGTTTTGAAAACTGGATAAAGAAAGAAATATGAAATCCAGATGTATATAATGAACACATCATTTCAGACAATAACTGTGGTCTGCAAATATCACATTTAAGATAATTTAACAAAAAGGCCACTGGAGTTTATTGAAAGGGACTGTGATTTTCAGGTTCACTGAAAGGATTCAAAGAAAATACCTACAGAAATATTGAGTATCTAGAGGTGTATTATGTATATGCATAAATAAGAAAGAAAAAGGGGGGGGCAGGATGGGAGGGAGGGAGAGGGGAATTTATTTGGAAAACAGGTGAATATGATAAATTATAGTTTTTAAAAAATCTCTTCTAATGCATCACATAGTTGGCAGGTAGTAAGAACAATCTTCAGTGGTCTCACAATGTTGACAGATCACGCATTCCAAGAAGGGAAGCTCAGAAGCCAAGAGCTGCTGCTGACGGCTTTGTGAGACACCCCCAGTGGAATGGGAAGTGGGAGAGGCCACTCAGGAGAGGGAGCCCAGGGCTCTCGCCAAGTGGGGAGTGAGTTCAGCACACATCCTCCGCCGCAATTAGATACGGGACAGCAGAAACGTGACACCTTTAGTGGGGAAATGAAAATGGACACTTCAGGGAAACTCCGCTGCTCTTACTTAGTCTTGGCTCCGGGTGCTGCTGATAAAAATCCCACAACCTCAGGCTGTGAGAGGAGAGGAGCAAGAACTCACATCGTGTGTGAAGTTAAAAGCAAAATATAATTTTAATGCAAAATAGTTCTGGGCCAGAACTGCATACAGCTTAGACCCCTGGAAGAGGCAACCACAAATTCTGTCCTGAAGAGAGTACCTTAAAGCTACATGAAGAGATAAAAAGTATCAGTCCTCCAAGGGCTGAAAACATTTTTAACTTCTGAGATTAACATACAAGAGAAACGAGTTTAGGGGGAATGAAAATGTGGATGCTGAAAGT